CACTTTAAAAGTGTAAGATCTCCACCGGCACCGGCAAAGGGCACCCGACCCAAAACCTCTGAAGAATGCTGGTGAAATCAAGCGAAACTATTTATGGCAAACGTTATCGAAATTTACTCAGCTGAGATAATTTAATAAGTTTAATATTTTCATACAACCGCAAGCGTTTTATCAAGCTTATATCATTTATAGTAACTCAATTCTTGCATTAGTCGTGTTAGACGATTGCGGCTTTTGACCGCTAATATATGTGAAAGCATATGTAATTATTTAGTATACAGGTATATGTAAATACATATAAGTATGTATAGCTGCCCACTGTCAAATGTTATGCCATAAAATATTTAATATGCAGAACAGCATCGATTTCTGTTACTCGAGATCGTTTTGCTAACACCATTTCACACACATAAAGCGATGGCTGAAATTGCAAATTGTCGAGCGGTCACAGGCGAGAGGCGATTAGTAGTTTGAAATATTATATTTCAAGCAAAATCCGTTAGAATTTGTAATTGAGTAAAAGGTGACAAGGTAAATTAAATAATTATAGGTACCTACATAACAAAAGAGATCAAAAAAATAAAAATAAAATTTAATTAAAAAAATAAATAAAAAAAATAGATAAATAACAAAGAAAAAAAATCAATAAATAAATAAAAATAAAGGAAAGCAATATGAAGATATAAATTAAAAAATGTAGAAATATGCATGTGCATATGTATGTGGGCAAAAAAAAAACTTTTGAAATAAATACGAGCAATTTGTCATAACATAACCTACATATAATGGTTTGAGCTTGTTCTTTTTACTGTTCTTTTTAAGTTTTTTTTGTTTTGTTTTTTTTTTGTTGTCATTGTACAAAATGTTAAGTAATTGGTAATTGGCGCGAAAATGAATGTAATGTGGTGTAGAATTAAAAGTCAATGTTATTAATAAAGCGCTGCTGGCATGGCTGGGAATGACGAAAATTGTAATATTAATGTAACTTTTTCGTACATTATATATATATTATATAAAGAATAGTGTATTATTCGTATATTTTTAGTTCGACTACCTAATAAAAATACAATAAAAAAATTTAGAATAAACTTTTAAAATCAATATTTAATAAAATTGAAATTGAAATAGTAAATAAAATATAACTTTTTTTTCTAAATTATTTAAATGCTTCAGAAAATAATTTACGTTCCCTAGGCTTTTTATAATTTTAGGCGCTTCAAATGAATTGGCAACCCTAATTGCACTTAGCCGAGTCACAGACTTTTACATTAACGTAAACTGTCTAACTTTAGTCAAAACTGCTCACCTGCTCTGGGTTGGTTCACCTATAGGTATTTCCATTTACATGTAGCGCTTTGCCACCAGCATTCTCGGTTCTTTAGTTGAGCCGTGCATTTGTCCTTTCACAATTTGTGGGGTGTGTTTTCATGTTGCCTAAACAAATGAAGGGAACTACAATGTTTGGCTGAGGGAGGTGGCTGAGGAGGTTTTTTTTCATGTCAGAACTACACTCTTAGGTGCTGACAAATCCTGCTGAAGAGCGATTCCAATTGGTAACAACAGATTTTATGGCTGATGTTGGCGCAGTGGTAGAACACTCCGTTGGTTCGATCCCTGCCCTAAGAAGTCTGATGAGGAGATGTGGTGATCTCCGAAAAAGCTCTCACTTCTACCATTTTTCTTTGTTGTATAACAAATATTCAATTCATACAAACAACAAGACCTCGTAGTTTACTTAATAAAATTAAGTATTTTTGGTTTTTATTTTTCTAAAATTTTTTGATATTCGTCCGGTATGCTGCTAACTAAAAATAATAATAATTCGGTATTTCTATTTGGATTTTTTTTTGCCATTGAAATAATTAAAGAATAAATAAATAGATAAAAAATATGATTGGAATTTCGTATCCAAAAATTAGTTGGAGGTCATTTCATTTGAAAATTATTAACAATAACTTCTTCTAAGTCTTCAAAATATTTTTAAATTATTTTTTATTATTATTTATTATCTCAAGAAATGCCGATGCGTACACTGGTCGCTTAAAATGAAAATTCTCATTGTCATTAAAATGGTATACGGACCAACCATATATGTATATATATATACTTATGTATGTACTGGAATATAATTGGTATGCATATTTAATACAATTTATATGTGAAGAAACCACACAATGCATTTAACGAGCATAAAGTATTTATTTAAATTTGTTTTAAGTTGGACTTTTTTGAAGTGGACGGCAAAAAAAAAATAATAATAATGAAAAACAACAAAAAAAAAAAAAATTAAAGTACTTAGACAATATATTACAAGTTTATATTTATTTGGCTAATATACATCAAATTTAAGTGTCTTCGAAGCATACGCACATGCTTGTAGGTAGACACATGCACATGCACATACACGTACATACCTAAATGTCAGTAGGCAGACGACGACGTGGCGTTTATATTTCTTTGTTTATTTTACAATCAACATACATACATACAAATTGCGTCGGTCGACAACTGGGTCAATGTCAGTAGAAACAAAAACAAATTTATAAAATTATTTATTTTTATTTTTATTATTTAATTTTTGCAAAAAAAAAAAATAATTTAAATAAAGTAAAAGAAGTGGAAGCAGTAAAGACACAATAAAATTGGCGACAAAAATGTAAAACAAATAAATTATACATAAATTTTTGTAGCGTTATGAATATGCTTGTGCATGTTTGTATGTACATATGTATGTACATATGCACTATAAGGGAACCACAGAATATGTGATTAGCACGAAGATTTCTGTTTAATGAATATATCACGTGCTTAAGTATAAATATATATAAATATGTACACATACTTATAAAGGGTGTTTTTTTATTTAGAAAAAATAAAATGCATACAATTTAATCTTGTGGACAGGAGTTAAATTTTTTTCGAAAATTAAGACTTTATTGTGAACAAATGATTTTAATCGTATGGAATCGGTTTTGCAAGTTCTTCTTGCGTCTGGCATGTATCTGCGTACAGCAATGTCATACAAAGTCTCCAATTCTTCGTCTTGAAATCTTTTTGGCTGTCCGTCATTTTGGCACGTTCGTTCGGCTAAAGCATGGTCATCATAAACGTCTAGTAAAATACGATGGCTTTCGGTAGCACTTTTCTCCATGTTAAAGTAATGAAGAAGAACTCCCCGCAGAAACACTTTATCTGGTACAAATTTCGACACTTTTAAATGAATGAAACAAATTGTTGTTCACGCTAAAATAAATTACATCTGCTGAAAACGACGCGAAATGACAGTACCTTTGAAATGGATATAGCCACAGCCAAATGTCAGCCATAACGCGCCATTGTTCTCCTCCAAAGCGTCAGTCGCGTTGGGATTATTTGCGTAGAAAAGAGACTTCGCTTTGCCCCACAAAAAATAGTCCAGCGGTATTTAATTGCTTATTCTTGGAGGTCACGATACAGGCCCGCACTTGCGCTCACCAAATTTTTCCTTTAAAAAATTGATGATTTCGTTAGCTGTATAGCATACAGGACCATCTTGTTGGAACCGTAGGTCATCCATATAAGCTTCCCTCAATTTAGACACGAAAAGTCATTAATCCTGACTCTATGGCGTACCCATTGACTCTTATATGTTGGCTGGGTTCATCTTTGATGAAATATAGACTAATGATTCCCCACACAAAACAGTTACCTTTTTTAGGAAGTGACAACGTCTCAACAATGATTTGATTCTTAAAAATAAAGCTGGATTCATTGCTAAACAAAATTTTCTTGTGGAACTCTGGAACGGCGTTTCTGAGCATAGAGTAGCCGTTCTGTTCGTATTACCGACTCTTCTGGGCAATTATGTTGCTAACCGGAGCAAGTCCATTATTCCATTATTAATCAGCAAACTCAACTGATTTTAAACCAAGTAACCGCTATTAAAAAGACCAATACCGACTAAGTATTGCCTCACTGATCAACCACCCGTTAAAAAAGTAAAACCCTTTGGGCATGTAGCTACGCGTTTTTTAATTGTTATTTGAGGCGTTTAAGTTGCCGCTTGTGCACTCATAACACCGTTATTTATGTTAGTCATTCTCACGCGTACTATTTGGCGTGACCTTTATCTATATCAGCGCTGATAAAAGTCTACACCCAAAAAAAAAGAAAACAAACAAAATTTGACCTCCCACAGCTGACAGTCAGCAAACGTTTCTAGTAGGCCGACAGCCATCTGCGTACTTCTTTCTCAGCCGCATTTGACCTTTGCATGTATGTATGTATATATTTTATGTGTGACTTTTATGTCGCGCTTGAATGCGTTGATTTTGAAATCGTTTTTTCACGTGTGAAAAATTAGAGATAACCAAAAAGATAAACTAAATTAAAAAAAATGGTGAGACGCAAAATCCAAAATATTTATGAACGTGAATGCGAAACAAACGCACCGAAAGATTAATTTGTTTATTATGTTTATTATGCAATCGAAATTTCGAACACCTACTGTGACTTTCGTCGGCGCGCATACGAGTACAAGTGTTTCGGTGCGTGCAGGCGATTTTGAAAGAAATATGCCAACTTTTTCACCTAAATGATAAATGATTTTACACATTTTATTTAGCATAATTTTGATTTGTTTTTATTTTGATTTTGTTTCATTTTTATTTTATTTGAATCGTCATTTGTTAATATTTTTACGTGATTTTTTGTTTTCCTGTTTTTTTATTATATTTTATTACATTTAAATTATTGCTTTTTATGTTTTATTTTTGGTCTAAAATTTAGTGAATGGAAAATTTGTAATTTTTTTCCCTCTTCTTGGCCACCATGTAAACCGTCAAATGCTGTAAATGCATTATTTGGAAAGGTTTTTTCATGCTGCTTAAATGCGCTAAATAGATTAAAGCATTACCTAAGGGTTAATTTGTTTTTAACAAAGATTTAAATGTATTTCTAAGCCCTTTCATTTTTTCAATTTATTTTAATTTATACCTTCCTTTTCTTATGCTTCTTTACAGCTACCGCCACGGTTAATGCGAGTGGCATTTGTGGCATGCCTCATTTTAGCGTTACTCTCACCGACAGCCGACAGTGCGCAAAGTAAGTATTGCTTATTGGAAATACGGTTTTTATTAAAAAAATATATATATATATTTTTCCAGTTGTAATTTTTTGAACTTTACTTAGCATAACATCCCAAAGCAATATAAAATATAAAATTACTAATTTAAACTTTTCAACAAACTGCGAAAATTAGTTCAGCGCGACTTTAATGGTCCTCAGAGTATTTTTTTAATAACGGAGAATCACACAATTGGGTTTTTCTTAAAAAAGGTTACTACAAACTTTATGCAGAAAGTGGTTTTGATGGTATCACATCAAGTGAGGAAAAACTTGGAAATTGAAAATTAGATAACAGCGACATTGGTAAAAATGGCAACTTTTACGGAAAACAGTAAAATTCTTGTATGGGCTCAAATAAAAAGCGAATAAAAATTAGACTGAAAGATACATATGTACATATTTTGAGCCGAAAAATGTATTCTCTTTCATGTGTTTAGTACTCTGTAACGCTCTTCGATTAGCTTTCGCTCGCTGTTCGATTTCCATTCTGCTCCGTTCGAATTTACTTTAAGCAATTGGCATAGGCCTTCAGAGGTCTAATGAATGGCTAAGTCCAAAACGATAAACTTAAGCGTTATAAGCAATTGATGAAGGCCCACTGGCAGATCAAGTCGCTAGCGTTCCATATGAGCATTCTAGGTAACGAAAAGGCTGACGAGTTGGCCACATCGATGCATCTTATGAAGTAGATATAGTAACATGTCCGTCCGTTGGCACTATCTTACAACTGAAGCAATTTTCGGCTGAGCCCCTGGCCCAATTCGTGGTGGGCGCCTTGATGTTTTTCCAGCAAATGGCGGGATCTACACAGTTTATACTAAGCCCGCTTCGAACGACTGATGGTTTTTTTTTCTTATGAGGAGCCTTTATTTCATGTCAGAAATAGACTAGCCGAGGGACGATCGTAATTAGCAAAAACTTATTTTCTACAAATTTTGGCCTGTCCTTCCGAATGGCAGTAAGAATTGCTAGCCACTCGATTATCGCGGTTTACATCCATAACAACAGGTTACTGGCTCCGTTGCTGCTACTGCGAATTAAAAGAGACAAAGAACTACGAAAACTCTTTCGAAAGAACTTAAAATAAATGTGCATTCGAAATGCATTCGACTTTCGAATCTTATGAACTCTCGAAACACATCACTGAGTGAGGAGTCCAGACTTTTACTTAGATTTTCCTAGAAGATTATTAATGGATTTTGAAAACACTCTAGCTGATGCTTATTCCAAACTGCCTCCGATTTACTGATCGATTTTTGTGAGAAGCATTTTATGCTAAAAATATAATTTATCCACTACACTTAACTCGACTGATGTGATGAAGCTCGGCCGAAAATCACTTCAGCAGTTACAAAGTCCAAATTATATATGTACATGTTTTAGAGTTATAACCATAGCAATGATCTTAACGATGACTCATAGATTGCTAAAAATGTTCATAGGTGTTCTTTCTGCTTAAGTGAGAGCTTACTTTGATTAGTCAACACAACCTAACCTCAATAAATTATTTAACTTGCCTCTAGTCATAATTATAAGAATATAAAAATAAACTAATGCTCCGTAAACATTATTTTTTCCCTTGAAAGTTCAACAACATCTTCTGTCAATATAATTAAGAATCAGTAGAAACTGAAATCGTTCATTTAAAACAACAAAAAAATTAAATGAAAATATTGTAGTAAAAACGTTTAAGTAGCAAACATTTCGTGCAGTAAGCGACCGATTTTTAACTGATTTTTTTAACTGATTTTTTATGTTATTTTTAGCTTTTAACTGACAGTTGTTTTTTAGGAAACAAAACGCAATTAAATTTTTACCCACACTAAGGCCGAGAAGTTGCTCACTCACATATACGAGTATCTTCATTTAAAAAAAGCTCCAGCAGCTGCAGCGGATGATGCTTTCGTTTAAAAATGTTTATTATTTGCTTAGAATTGTGAACGAACGAGCCAAATCGTGCCTGAGATTTAATATTCATTAACTGAAAGGCATTTAGAGTTTCGTGGAGTAAGAAGTTTCAGGCAAGAAGAAGAGTGATTTTATGGTACTGCATAAATATTTCTAGCTACCAGATGCCAGGCACTACTATTGGCAACAGCATTCAGCCAACACAATTTGAAATTGCAATCATTGCAGCTGCAAAAATGTCTTTTCGTTTGCGTTTCTTCGTTCGATCTGTTGGAAATATTTCTAATCATTTTGCATCAAGAAAACGTGACGTTCGTATTTTTTATTATTATTATTATTTTTTTTTAATTTCAGGCTATATATTCTAATAGTCAATAATAGCGTTAAATGGTGGATTTAGTGATTTTGAAACATAATAAATACGGCTGAATATATGTTTATACATACATAATTAATGAAGTACGCAAATTTTTGAAAATTCATTAAAATTTGCTACCACATTTTGTCAATTTGCCAACAATTGTTTGGCTTTGATCCGATTACCCATATGCGTACGTACGTACATACATACATACATACATACATAAACTCTAACGTGTGCGTGTGCCTGTAATTGATTGCCTTTCAATCTCGTAAATTGCGATTGCGATTTCGACAATATACCTACTGTAATGTGATACTCAGTGTCAGCCGAATTGACAAACTCAAGTTGATTAATGATTTGGAGGCGTTAAGCTGGAGCAATGCTGGTAGCGGTTGAGCGTGTTACCACATACATACTCTTACATGTGCAATTTTTTTCTTTTTTTTCCCAAAAATAACTTCTGAAAAATTATTGTATTATGGCTGTCTCTTGGCTTCTGTGTAAAGAGACAATTCATTTATCTTAGAATTAACCTCAAATGAGTACAGAAGGTAAGAAGTGTTGTCATATCTGAAGAAATCGGTTGTTTAGAAGCTGATATAGATCTCCGATTTCGATAATTTTCGGGGATGAATAAGTGTGTAGTATACTAAATCTACCTCTAACTCTTAACGAAGATTTGACCAAAACACCCAATTTGTGGCATACGTCCTGATGATTTCCAACAAATTGAGGGACCCACAGTTTATCGGAATGATCATTATACTCGGAGGCTTTTAAATTCTCTGTAAAGGAGTAACCAAAATTAGAAAAAGTAATTTGGTATAAATTTGGATGTTGGTCGAAACAGCACTCGAATCTTTAGCTTCCGAATGGCAGTATGCAATGCTAACCATTCGGTTTTGCCGGACGCCAAGGAGCCAGTTTTCGTATAAACAGACGGACAGAGGTACATGGTTCTGGTTCTTACATACTACTGACCAAAGTACCATTTCATGCATGTATATGGAAAATAAAAAAAGAAACATTGGGTTGGCTTTAATTGGGTTTTGAGCTCCTCGCTTTCTGTGAAGAATAAGTGTCTCCGAATAATCAAAATGAAATACCCATTGGTTTTTCATCCATCATCCAGGGTACTAAAATGTCTGTACTGAAAATTATTCCCAAATACCTTTATTCATTATCTGTTATAAAAATGAATGGTGGTGGCTGAGAAAACTTCATAATTTTCCACTTAATCTCGAATGAAAGCTTACCCAGGCTTATGACGAGCACTAGGTCGTAGCTGAGATTAGTTCACCTAATAGGCATGTTCTTTTTTACAAAAGTAAAAAGATTTAAAAGTAGAGAAATAGATCCAAGGTTTTACCTTCTCAGAGGAGATACAGGTATTCGCCGCTTCTAAATACCCTTAAATGCTCGTAAAGACGAAGAATAGTAGCAACCCAGAGGTGAAGTAGTTTCTCGCCGCCCATAATGCCTGATTTCTTTTCTAAAGTAGACTTAATCGATCCTCACCTCTCCTATTTATAGAGAAGCCACCTCTTATGATAGCAGTTGGCTCACGGCTACTGTATTATTGGTTTGCTTCTACTTTTTAATGTAATACTTCTCTAAGTCTTTCTTATTCTTGACAAAAAAAAACTATAAATCTGACACTCGAACTCCGCTGAACTCTTACTCAGCCAAATTATGGAATATGAAAGGCACCTTTATATAGATCGCTGTTACATTTTTTGTTTGGAAATCGATAAGAGACATTTTTCATCTCGGATCAATACGATTATTACGGATTATACGATTTCCTCTTAGCAATTGGAGGTCATGTAAATTTTTACAAGTTACAAAAACAACAGTTCTCTAGAGCAGTAATAACCTTAATGGGGTGTGGAATACAAAACGGGGGGCTGGTAGACTAAGATCAGCGAAGTTCTTAATAGTCTGAACAACAGAGTTGCAGTTGCTCAGCTGTAAACCTAATTTAGAACGCCTTTTGACCAGTTGGTGGATGAGAACACTTCGGTATTAGAGAATTTTTTTGGCCAAGTGTGAAGTAATGAATGCCACGGAAATATCCGGTTGAGAACCACAACTAAGGAGCTCAGTCTTCTGGGCCACTAAGGGCAGCTTATAACCTAAACCTGTTATATTCGCATTTTAGGATTGCAGTAACTCGTTGGTTGGACACTGTTAGTTATAGGCTCTTGGTTTCAATCAAGATCTTAGTAGAAAATATGTAAAAATTAAATTGTATAACTGAATTATATAGACGACCTCCGCTCGTATCCGCTCATGTGGATAGTTTTATGGAATCCTCGGAAGTCTCAAATTTTGGAAATGTTGCCTGTGTCTCGTATGGATTAATGGTCTCAATTATTTACAACCGAAACTGCAATTTGGTTTTAGTTGAGATCAGTAATCTAAAAGCAGGGTTTCCTCTAAAGTTATGGGTTCCAAAACTCTGGTACAAATGTAGCACTCTCATCTACATTAAATTTTTTCTATTAGGATAATAATTTTTTTTGAATATCTTTCTAATAAACAAAAATTTCATTTTTTTTCAGCTAAAACACGTCGCCGCCTACGTCGTCCCACATCGACATCCGTCTCAGCCGCAGCTTCTGATTCGCGTAGTAATGTTGTGGTCACAAAACGTGCAACACAATCACCCGTAGATGAGATCGAAAAGCGTGTTGATCAACAATCCTCTTCGTCATTGTCGTCTTCAGCCACAACCACGATCTCACGCGCACGCGGTCGATCGAAATCGAAGGTACGTGGTGCAATTGGTGCTGGCGCAGCTGGCACTGCTTTGGTAGCGAGCAGTTCCAACTTGAAGAGTAAAAAGACCAAAGCCGATGATGGTGGCATGAAGATCGTTTGTTATTACACAAATTGGTCACAATATCGTGTAAAGATCGGCAAGTTTTTGCCCGAAGATATCCCCGCCGATTTGTGTACACACATAATTTTCGCATTCAGCTCGCTGAAGAAGGGTAAATTGACATCGTATGAATCGAATGATGAGACAAAGGATGGTGTGCCCGGTCTGTATGAACGTATTATGACATTGAAGAAGGCGAATCCAAAGTTGAAGGTAACTTTGAAGCGAAAAAAGTTCATTGACCTTAGAAATTTAATAACCTTTTTCTATTTTCTCAGATACTGTTGGCTTTGGGCGGTTGGTCTTTTGGCACACAAAAATTTAAGGAAATGTCCGCCACACGCTACACACGTCAGACGTTCATCTACTCAGCTATACCTTACTTGCGCAAACGCGGTTTCGATGGTTTGGACATGGATTGGGAGTACCCGAAGGGCTCAGATGACAAGAAAAACTTTGTGCTCTTACTCAAAGAATTGCGTGAGGCCTTTGAAGCCGAAGCGCAAGAGTTGAAGAAACAACGTTTATTGCTGTCGGCTGCTGTGCCAGTCGGACCAGATAATGTGCGTGGAGGCTATGACGTGCCAGCTGTTGCGAGCTACTTGGACTTTATAAATTTGATGGCGTACGATTTCCACGGCAAATGGGAGCGCGAAACAGGACACAATGCTCCACTCTATGCACCCTCAACTGATTCGGAATGGCGTAAACAATTGTCTGTGGACAATGCAGCTAATATGTGGGTCAAGATGGGCGCACCGAAGGAGAAACTTGTGATTGGTATGCTACAGACGTGGAATCATTATTAAAATTGTTTCTAATAAGTGACTTCTTCTGATACAAGGTATGCCCACATATGGACGCTCCTTCACTTTGGCAAATACCGATAAACATGGCCCTAATGCGCCAGCGACTGGTGGCGGTCGCGAGGGTATCTACACTAAAGAGGGTGGTTTCTTGGCCTATTATGAAATTTGTGAGATGTTGTTGAACGGCGCCGTCTATGTATGGGACGAAGAGATGAAAGTGCCTTACATGGTGGATGGTGATCAGGTGAGTTCTGTTTGAGGTTTTTGCTGTGTTCTCTACTAAAAGATAACTCCTGTGCTGTTAGTGGGTCGGATTCGATGACGAACGCGCCATTCGTAACAAGATGCATTGGATCAAATCGAATGGTTTCGGCGGCGCTATGGTTTGGACTATTGATATGGACGACTTCAAAGGTGAGGTGTGCGGCGGAAATGTCAAATATCCATTGATTGGCGCTATGCGTGAAGAATTGTTGGGCATCTCCCGTGGTAAGGAGGCCAAGGATGTAAACTGGACAGCGGTAGCAGCGACATTCGAAGACTTGGAAGAAGTAAATTTGCATTTTTATAAAGTCCCGCTACATTTTTACAAATTTTAACCAAATACAAACATATTTTAGGAAGAGAAACCCGCGCCGATTAAGATTGATGTAGAGGAGCTGCTCAGTAAAGTGCGCAAGCCAGTGAAGAAGCAACGCATCAAGTCCGGCTTAGTGGCTAAGGAGCAAAATAGTAAGTTTTTGTTGAAAAATAAGTTTGGACTATCATTCATAACCCACTTCTATCTCTGCACAGCACGTCCGGCGCAAGTATTCTGTTATCTGACCAGCTGGTCCGCCAAACGTCCTGGCGCTGGCAAGTTCCTGCCCTCAAACATTGATCCCAAACTCTGTACGCATGTTGTCTACGCTTTTGCTACACTGAAAGACCACAAACTTAGCGAAGCCACCGACGATGATCCCGAAAACTATGAACAAGTTATTGCTTTACGTGAGGAGAACCCCGACTTGCAAATACTCTTGGCCATCGGCGGTTGGGCTTTCGGTTCGAAACCATTCAAAGAGCTCACCTCAAACGTCTTCCGTATGAATCAGTTCGTTTATGAAGCAATCGATTTTCTACGCGACTACAAATTCAATGGACTCGATGTTGACTGGGAATATCCTCGTGGAGCTGAAGATCGTGCCGCCTATGTGAACCTACTGCGTGAATTGCGTGTCGCATTCGAAGGTGAAGCCAAATCGTCAGGACAACCACGTTTACTCTTAACCGCTGCTGTACCAGCCTCATTCGAGGCCATCGCCGCTGGTTATGATGTGCCTGAGATTTCGAAATACCTCGATTTCATTAATGTTATGACTTACGACTTCCACGGGCAGTGGGAACGTACCGTGGGACACAATTCACCGCTCTTCCCCTTGGAGGCGACAACGGGTTATCAAAAGAAATTGACTGTAGACTTCAGCGCACGTGAGTGGGTAAAACAGGGCGCGCCGAAGGAGAAGCTACTCATTGGTATGCCAACGTATGGCCGCTCATTTGAATTGGTCAACGAGACACAGTTCGATATTGGCGCACCAGCGTCTGGTGGCGGTAAGGCGGGCAAATTCACGAATGAGGCAGGTTTCTTGAGCTACTATGAAGTGTGCACGTTCTTGGCGGCGGAAAATACAACGTTGGTGTGGGACTCCGAACAGCAGGTGCCTTTCGCTTATCGCGGCAATCAATGGGTTGGCTTCGATGATGAGCGTTCGCTGAAGACGAAGGTGAGTTTGTGGAAGGAGATGGTGATTTTTTATTTATTAAATCATTTTTTTTTTCATTTATACATAGATGGAATGGTTGAAAGAGCAAGGTTTTGGTGGCATAATGGTTTGGTCCATTGATATGGATGATTTCTCTGGACGTTGCGGCGCGGGCAAGTATCCGCTTTTGAACTCCTTGAACGACGAGCTGAAAGATTACAAAGTTGAATTGGAATATGAGGGCCCTTATGAGTCGCACGGACCACGCGGTGCTTACACAACGAAAGATCGTAAGTAGTATTTTAATAGAAATAAGGCGTTTAAATTTGGTATCTACTTATCTTCATTTTTCTCTCCGCTCTCTCTTCTCGCACTCTCTTGCTATCGCTCACCAGCTCATGATGTGACTTGCGAAGAGGAAGATGGCCATATTAGCTATCACAAAGATTGGAATGACTGTACACACTACTACATGTGTGAGGGTGAACGCAAACATCACATGCCATGTCCTGCCAATTTGGTTTTCAATCCACAAGAGAACGTATGCGATTGGCCCGAGAATGTGGAGGGTTGCCATGAGCCAACAGAAGCGCCCGCTTAAGTACGAATTTCAGTACGTGTTGCCGTCTCTACGCATACAAACAAGTACGAGTATATTATGTACTAACTTAGAACAAAATGTAAAAAAAAATTTCGAAAATAATAACAACAACAAAAATCGAATAAGACATACATATATACTTATGAACTTCTGAAGAACTTTGTCATTAGGTTTTTGATTTTTTTGTTCTTGCTCATACCTATACATACCTTCTTTTTTGCTATTTACTGTGTAGTTGTTAATTATGAAAAAAAGAAAAAGATTTTGCGAATGCTTAAGTGAAACTGCCAATCTATGAAAGTAAAAGAATATTTTATATACACATACAACACACTCACTTTTGAATAATATTAAAGAATATGACAAACGAAAAAAAATACTCAAAAATTATGTATACATACCTACAAATGCACATCGAGGCAAATTGCAAACAAATCGAAATTGTTAACGAATTTGCATAGTTGTTTTTTTTTACTATAAATATGTTATAATTTAAAAGAAATTTGCTTCACATGAACGTGTTAAATGTTAAGTACCCCTCGCCCTGCTTTTTAGTACGTAGTGCATATGAAATAATTATTTTTAAAATGAAACTTTAACTGCCCATATATACTGCCGTTTCGAAAAAATTTTCTCTACTTTTCACCCGCTTGCCTTTACACAATTTCTCTCTAACATTCTAAAATTTACGCTCTCCTACTTTAAACATTTTAAGTTATTTCTGTTTTTTTTTGTGTTTTTTATTCTAATTTTCCTTCTTCAAGAAAGCATCCTGTTTTTATATACAAAACTGTGATAAACATTAAAACGATATACTAAATTTCAGCGCTTTATTTTTTACTGTGCTAATTCGTTAATATGTCCCTACTCTTCATTTTATGCTTACTTTATTTTCCATCTTCTCACTCTCTCGCCGTTCTATCGCCCTTTCTTTTTCTTATCAATTCCCTAGCTTGCTATCTTGCTTGCACGTTCGAAGCATTATTAAGGTTTTCGAAATTGGTGAAATTTTCGAAATTTGTAATGTAATTTATGTAAACAAAAATGTAATAATAACTTTGTATTATAGTGTTATGTTTAGTAAATATGATAAATAAAATAAAAAAAAATAAATAAAAATAAAAATTTACTACGCTGTGTTTTCATATGGAAATAATAGTGGGGGGTAATAAGCTGCGCAAAGCTGGCATCTTTGTACAAAATTCAAAAGTTAATTACGAAGCATCCTCAATCGTAAAACTTGCAACCAGATCGTTCAAGTTATGTTCTAACATCGACACGGACCACTATTATATTGGTGAAGTAAAAGGTTCGTTCGGGTTTTTATTGATTTTTCAAAATATGATAATTTTGTGTACATTTGTCATAAACTTGCTGCCAACGAGTTGCCAACTTCATTATACCCCTCTCGTAGAAGAGCAAATTTTCACAGGCCTCTCTTGAGGCCAACTTCTCACCATTAAGCGCGTTCGCCATGGACAGGAAAAGATGGTAATTACTTGGTGCCAGGTCTGGACTAAAAGGTGGGTGCATTAGGAGCTCCTGGAGCTTCTGACCCGTCACGAACGACGTGTGTGGTGTGGTGTTGTCATGATGGAACACAATTTGGTCATAGGGGAGCAGCTCGTAGTAGACTGCCTTCTTGCCAGTCCCCGCTTCCTCGAGCTTTGGCCATGACCGTTTGCGCTCGATGTTATCGTAAGTGACTCATTTTTATCGCCCATCACAATCCGCTTCAGAAACGGGTCGATTTTATTGCGATTCAGTAGCGATTCGCAGATGGAAATTCGGTCCATCATGTGACACCCAAACATCGAACTTCTTTTTGAATCCAAGGTTATGCAAATGGTTCCAAACGGTTTTCTGGCTTATCTTTAGTTCCTCAGCAATTAAGTAAGTGCTCACATGACGGTCTGTTTCCACTATTTCCATGATTTTATCACAATTTTCGGCGACAGGCCACCCTACGCGTGGTGCATCTATGACATCGAAATTACCGGGACGGAACCTAGCAATATTGTAGTCGACTAAATTCCTACTTATCCGAACTTGACCCGGACATAACCAACGTACGTCCTGTATGCAATGAGACCCTGCAAGACACTAAGACCGAAAACGTCGAAACAACTCGAAAAAACAGGGTTGGAGTGGTTACTAGATCAACAACGACAACATGGTTCAACCTCGAAAAACTGTCATAACAAGGTACAGCCAGAAGGGTATCTTTGCGACTTACTTAATTTCTGAGAGCACTTATCAGAAGCTTTCTAGACTAGAGCATAAGGTAACAATGCTGGGGGCTTACCTACTGAAACACCGAATATACTGTAAGAACACTTCTCCAGCCTACTTGACTGCGGTGAAAAAGAAACACCAGGAGATGTCTAATCTGATTCAATAATATATTACCCAACTTCATTGAAGTCCAACCAGCCAGTGCCCGCCTAAATACCAAAACCTCTATCGGGATCGGAAAGGACTTCTTCACGCCGTCCGACACTAAACAGGGTTTCAGACAAGGTGACTCTTGTGTGATAAATGAAGGGAGCTCTGCCATGCCATGTCATAAACAGTGTTGCCAGACATTGCTATTTAGGGCAAATTCGCCCATTTCTCGAGCTCTACAAGTACCTCATTATTTCTAGCTTTCTGTATGGTTCAGAAGCATGAAACACGATAACACGGGAGAAAGGTTTTGTGAATGCTTTATGGTGACTCTCATTTGATAAGTCGTACAGGACGGCTTGAAGTACTAACATCGGAATACGCAAGGTGAATAGTTTTACCTTGCATTCCCTTTTCCAACCAAAAACTAGTATATATACTTAAAAGCTTTATTGAAAGTTCTTAACGTACAGATGACCTCTTTAGATACATTCCTTACTATGACTCTAAATATATGTATGTACATACTTAGTTATCCATTATATGAATAAAAATATAGATTTACAATATTCTAATAAATAATATTATATGTATATATATATATATATGTATATCTATTGTCTATATCGTGATGTTATGTATGTTTTGTGTCCCACTCAGTTGAGCGCCTGTTGCACACGTTCAAGGAAACGCACCGGACGGAACCATGGCAACAGCACATTCTGTGATGTACGCGCTGGCACCGCAGGTACCTCTATGCTTTTCTCGGGGACTTGTTGATTCTTCAGCCACGTGTCGAATACCTCGGCAAAGTCATTACGGAAACCCTTTGGAAACAGCTCCAAGTTAGTGCCTTGAAAAGTATTATGTAAAAGATCGGTGCCGTCACGTAAGCCTGCGCGTAAATTTTCACCAATCTCTGATTCCTTTATATTTCTAATGGTATCCTTGATTAAATTGCTAACTGCTGGCATTGACTCTTCCTGTGATTTGGACGTCTCATTTACCGATTCATCACTTCCGGACTTCGGTGGTGATTTCTGACGGCGAAAAATTGGTGAGGGACGCAACAGACGCGTGGGGTGATCGCTAAACCAAGCATCGGGTTTTTCGGCTGCCGAGTCATCTTCGTTCTCTTGTGCTTCACGCTTCTTATTGCCGCTGCTGCTGTCGTCGGTTTTGCGTAGCGGTGCGGGACGAACTAAAGTGTTTGCAAAATCACTAAACCAATCGAGATGATCTGTACCGCGTCGCGTGCGAGCGCCGTTGGCTGTCAATTCTTTACGTCCCTCACTAGCCGGCAGCAGGGTGTTGCGTTTCGTCGGCGTATATGGTTGATAAATAGCGATGGTGGAACGTTTTTGCTGTGTGTCTATTTGGGTGGCTGCAGCGCGCGCCTTTTCCATTTCAAATTGCATAGCGGTACGTATGAAGCGTTCATTAGTTGGTCCTTGTATAAGCACTTCGAATGGTAATCGTTGTGTGCGTGCTTTTCGTTGCATTGCGGCAATGCACTCACCTTCGGAGCGCGCACGAATACTTTTCCGTTTTTGGCCCTCACCGCGATTACCAGCGTACTTATCATATTCACACAAACACTGCTCACCGCAATAGAAACCAATACAACCGCATTGTTCACAGAGTGATTTACAACTGCCTTCCAGACGTTGCTCCTGTGCCACATTTTTGCCCCAAATTTTGGCCATTGAGGTGGATTTCGGCTGCTGCGGTGTCGCTGTGGCTATAACTATGAGCCAGACTAACAGTAAACCAACGGTATAAAGCCAAAAATAGGTGTTGGTCATTGTCGCGACGGTCGACATTTTATGTAACTAAAAACCGTTATGTTTATTGGCTTACTTTTTCTATTTGTTTTTCGTTTAAATGTCCGATGCGCTTGACGGTTTTTTATCTACTCAGTGCTTCTGCTATGCGATTAATTGATTTTATATTACGCTCACTATTGTTGTTTTGGCCAAGTGCATGATATTTTGGCTTTCTTTATGTGTTCTCAATCTATATGAATTTCGTAATTTTCATATAAAAATTTAATATTTTGGTTTATTGTTTGGTTTTCTGTTTTGTGTTTTGTTTGTTGTTGTCTTCCCCAATGCTTTCTGCACCGAACTGAGTATTCTGTTTTGAATATTGTTTTGGCTTGAGTTGTCGCATTGCGAGTGTTGGAGAATTTGTCGACCAAGCAATTTGAAATAGTAGCGGGGATCATATAACGGTAGCGTTAAGTTAAAGTGACTTAAGTCGAGATTGGAGGCGATGACGTGAATACTTGCTTGTAAACTATAGATAGGTTGCCTTTAGAGAAAAATATTGAAACCAACTTCGTGTTCGGGGTATAGCTTTTAAAACGGTAGTTGAAAGTCACTTTTAGCGGTTACTATTTATGTCTACTTATGAAAATTGTATGCTTTACCAAGTATTTGTATGATTGTGAGCAAATTGTAAGCAATTGTTAAGGTTACAGGGGGATATGATAAATATTGGTTCTACATTTAAAACCCGACTTCTTCTGAGTGCATATTGCAGCAACTTTCACCTTGTTATTGTTATTGTAACACCAAAAAGATTTCCCTAAAGTAGTTTTTTGGCAATGTTACGGAAGTAACAGCCCTTGGCCGGATAAAAATCCGGGTCGTTCCGGTATAAAGACCCGACTGTCGCTGCCGACTGTCGGAACTATTGGATTTTAGTGGCCCCTTACGACAGGCATGCTTTACCGCGGGTAAATTCTTGAACCCGTAATCCAGAGGGGGGCAACTTTCACTTTGAAACCAGTCTGTAAAGATCAACGGTAGACTCCATAAGTAAACAAATGAATTTGAAGGTAGTGTGAAACTCTTAAGCTCGTTAATTACGCGTACTGGCAATGAAATTTGGTTAATGACTTCGAGTTCGACGTGGAGACAATAAACAAACTATCTATAAGTAATCTTTTCAACATTTTGAGAGCCAAACAGGTGTTTTATTCTCGAACAATTATAATATGGATCACTGTTGACATCTTGCGGAGGACGTTATGCTCTATTCTGAGTTTAAGAGTCAAAGATCTTTTGAGATAAGTAAAACTCGTTTTGGTGGTTGAAGGGACCTCGAAATAGATCAACTTAAAAAACCGGTAAATTAGTCCCAGAAATTTTCTGATAGTAAATACAAATCTTTTACACCCCAAATAATTTATTTTTATTTTCTGAAAATTCACTGCGCGCACTAATGCAAATTTTTTGCCATATATTTGAATATGTACATATGTATATAGTAGTACACAAATTCATCTTACAAGGTTAATATGCGTTCTCGCGTTTCTGAAATATTTCGCAATTAAAAAAAGGTACTTATATATAATAGTTTAGTTAAGCTCATTTGTTCTAAGCACATACATAGCTACCATAATAAAGACAAAATTAATATATCTGTTATATATTTGAACGCAGACATTTACACATGTATTTTTTAGTGTTTTGTTCTTTTATTTCCTTTATACAAAATAATTTACAATTAAGAATTGTAAAGAAAACAGAAGAGTAGTATGCAGAGTTATAAAGCAACTAAATAAAATTAAAAAATGCATTTATCACTTTGCACAAAGTTGAGCTCTAAATAATCAGTGCTCAAAGATATATGTAAAACTGTGTTATTATTTTTCCGACTTATTAACGCCTCTTGCCTTTGCCCTTTTTTCCACCAGTCGATTGTTGTGCCTGCACATGTTGTTGCTGATCACCGGATTTCCCTTGACGTGATTTCAATTGTGGTATTCTAAATGCTACATAACGCATTATATCCTCACGTGAGCCTAACTCCAGATTGCACGGTTCGCCATCGTCGTTACGCATCTGTACGCGAACACGGCCGCGCATTTGCATTTCCTTTCAATGAAAGAAATTTATACAGTTCATTTAATTTAGCATGGGGATATGGTAATGTTTGGTTTACTAATTTACCCTGCTGCGTTCCCTTGAGTACTGCTTATTTTCCACGCCAACACGTAAATTGGTGACTGATAGCACATCACGTATCTCTGCATAGGTGGGATTTTCAACACATTGTTCTTTCGGTAGGCGCCGTCCTTCTTGACGTGTCTTTTTACTATTTATATATGCGGGATAGATGCAAATCCAACTAGAAATATAGAGGTAAAGGTTTATTAATCAGGTGCTCATAGGGGTGACGCTAGGCTGTCTACCGCTCCACATCGCTATGTTTTTTATTTGGATGCCAATTTGTTCGCACTGGTTGTGAAGCCGCCATGGTACTTTGTATGCTTTTAAATTATTTATGATTTTTTAAATAATTGAATGTTAATTTATAAATATAAAAGAAAATTTGCTCAGGTGGAAATTGACAGCAAAACAAGAAATGACAACAAATATTTTGACACGTTGCATATACGTGATGCCAGAATGATGGAAATTAATATTTAAAATGTTATTGTTTTGAAGTTTTATCAAAACATTCGTGGTCCCCCTTAATTCGTAAAAATGTTGGTTTAAATATATATATGTATATCGATACATGTACTTAATTGGACCCAAGGTTAGTTCGCATCGTGAAAGTCCTATAGCAGTCGAAAACGCTTAGTCTTTTATCCATATGTACCCACAAAAAGAAGTAAAGGTTATATCATCCAGTAAATGATATATCTGAAAAAAAGTTTATATATTTTAATTTAGTGGATTAAAGTTTTAACGTTGTGAATTTGATTAAAATTTCGAAAACAATATAATGAAAATCGCACGTTAACTCGTGGCAGCCCTATCCGGCTAGTTTATGCCAAACTCTTTCTCAGTACCTCTCAAACTGTAGTTTACTTGGAACTGCAACTGCAAGCACTGTGGTTGTCAAAAATCAATCAGCTGTTGACGATTTCTATGCTTTCGGTTGCTTGGCTGTGTAATCTCCTCCAAGCAGACAAGTTTTGTCAGACAAGTTGATCAGTCGGTTGGAAAAAGAAAAGTTCTTATAATTTCGAAATTTGTGTATTTATTTTAGATAGTCTCTATTAAGTACGGTGTCAATGCCAGGCATGAACAATATGGAAGAACTTTGTGCCATACTTGCCAAAACGCGTGATCCTTCAGCGCAAAAGGAACAAGATGAGGTGATACATCAGTGTTCATTCATTATCTATGACTTTTTACGCACGAGTTTTGGATAACTTGTACATATGCTTTGGTACATACATATATGCGTGTACTTATATATGTATATTGTTGTTGGAGTTATAATAGATTTGTGCATTTGCGTAAAGTTAAAACGCCTACACGCTTACATTCCTCTTCTGCTTGTTTCGTTCTTGCAGATTTTGTTGCAGCCCTTCGCCTACATACAACAAATACCAGGCAAGCAATTTCGCTCCGAATTGGCCTTGGCATTCAATCACTGGCTAAATATTCCGGCTGAAAAACTACACCAGATTGGCGAAATTGTGCAAATGCTGCATAATTCTAGCTTATTGTGAGTATATTTGTTGTTCAAGAGCATGTAATATGTAGCATCTTAAACTGCTACTAACCAAGAGTGGATAGATAAAGGCGAGCAAATGTGTCCATAGCAAGCAGTTGGCCATAACATCCTAACCCACAAAAAAAAAAAAAAAAAAATCGTAGTCATGTTTATTCATCAAGTGCAAGTGAACGTTTTATAAGTATGTTTGTGTATGTGTTTGTTTAATCACGCCGCCTATATGTATACTTCAACTTGCATGTATGCATGCTTGTCGTGAAGTGATAAATTTGTATAGGTGTGCAAATAATGATTTTTTGTTTAATATAGGTACGATCTTTATTTTTAGTTGCTTGTTTTTTGTTTTAGCTTCTCTTTGTTTATATGCGATTCTATTGTTTTGTGACGGCGGCCTGGTTCGATTCCATTCGCACTACGCTTCATCAATTTTGTTTACATTACTAGATGTGTGTATGTTATTCTTTTGTGTATATGTATTTATTTTAAAAATAATTGCACATTTCAAATTCTGAGAAATCCTCTTGAAATTTTGGTGTTGAAAAGTTGCCGTAAATTTTGTATTCACCACACGTCGCGATTCTCACAATTTTGAGTGTTGTACTTTTTCCATTAAATTTCCAAAAGGAAGTTTAAAAACAAATTTTATTGTTCTGTGAAATGAGAAATGTGGTTATGCATGCCACTTGTATGTACATACATACATACATGCGTACATATCTACATATGTATGTATGCAGATACATAAGACTGATTAAAAATTTTATGCATTTAAATTTATGATTTTGCCTTTGTGAGCTCTATACATTTATACGCTTATAATACATTTATATAAATGAAGTTGGATGATTATAAAATTTATGTCTTCATATGTATATATGTAAGTATGTGTGGCGCAGACAAATTCTTTGTTGGAAAATGCAAAAATTTTAAATGATAAGGAAAATTTTTAGCTATAAAAATTAAAAAGGAATAAATGAAACACATACAATATGCACGAAATCACGAACTTATAATTAGTTTATTTTCATACATAAATAAATTATATTTATTTTTTTTTACAATATTTTAGCCTGATAACTTTTTAAAGAGAATTAACGCCATAGACGCAAGAAATTTCGTCATTTGCTAAATATATGTAAAAAAATATATGGAAATATATGTGCATATGTAAATATATAGGCTTTGTTGCTTATGAATCATCGTTTTTTTTTTTGATAGCTTATATGTTGGTATATTGTAGATAACCAGGCGCCAAGTGAACGAACATATGTTATACATACGAGTATGTACATACAAGCAGCTTATTTTTCTCTCAAGTTACTTAAAAATATTTTTCGCAAAACAATTTTCAAATTTTCACTGCATATGTATTTGAATATGTAAATTTATTCGACAAAAATAATCGAAATGTAAAAGTATTTTGCAGCATTTGCTAGTGAATATATGTAAATAAGTATGTAAATATATGCATATTGTTTGTAATCGAAAATAATTAAAGCTATTGAGGCTGTAAACCATAATTGCACAATATATGTATGTATGTATGACTGAAATATCTTACTAACAAAGATAGTGTAGAAATAGTTACAAAAAATTTCAATAAAATATATAAATTTTCGTTCATAAATTTTCCAATTGGAAGTACATATGCAGGCATGTATGTATGTACATATGTACACACATAAATTATTGTTGATGTTGCTGATGTATGCATGTGCTGCTTTCAACATGTGGTTGCCCGCCTGAACTACTCAATTGCAGCATAACAAACATGTCATATGCGAAAAAGGAAATGGAAAAACTCGCTACACCCACCAATCGCTAACCAGCTAGAGGTGCATGCATACATATGCTAAATAAGAATGCAATATGTACTCTGTAAGGAAATTATTTTGAAAGGAAAAGGGGTTATGAAAATGCAATTAACTCTGACTTTTTCTTTAATTTTTAATTTTCCTGAAATTTTTAAGAACATTCCAAGGTAAAATATTTAGAAAATGTTTCTAGTAAACTTCTTTATTAAATTTTCTGGTGTATTTAATTTTTATTTACGTATATTCATTTATCAAGCTCAGAGGCAAAGTTAAATCAAACAAACAAAATAATATTTTTTTCTTTACAAATTTTATTAACTCAAAATAATGCTTTAAGTCACAAAAAAGAGGAAATTAATTAATTTTTATAATATTTTAAATAAAAAGAAATTCCGCCTTTAACATACGCTCAGCATTTCCTAGCCGGCACAAACACATATGATACTGTATATATTTATATATTTATATATTGTCGCCTGTCTTAATGACTTGTTAGGGGCTTGCACAACGCATTTCAATTTTAATTCTATGCAGGGTAATTGATAAAACATGTTACATACATATATATTATATACATATATGCCGTTTGGGCCCTATGTAAATGATTTCATTGATCTCGCAGTTATGCTCACTTAATTAAATTCTCTGTTTGCTGATATTGTTGTATTACACAGAAAATGTAAATGAAAATAAATAATAAATATTATCTGGCTAACCGTTCAGCACTTTTGATTCGCTTTTTTTCATATCGACACAAGCGACATGTCCGATATTATGACGTACCATGGGATAGTAGAACGTGTTTGGCATACCAAAAAAAAAAAAATATCCCTTTATTTTAAAAATTATGTAAAAAGAAGAAATGAAGTAATATTGTAGGAATATAAGCATATTTTAATTCTTCCCTGAGGCAGTTGATGGAATTTTTTCCGCTGAATTTTATATATTTATAAACATAATAATTTATTATTAATTTTGAGATACACATATGTAGTACAATTATGATTGTTACTTTTTCAATTTATTACTTCAATGTATTATCGACCTTCACCATATTATTGATACTCTTTTGGTTCGCTCTGTTTGCCATTCCAAGAATTTTAGAGTGCATATTTAATTTTGTATTTTGTCGTTTTATTTTACACAACCATTTTTTGTATGATAAGCACTGCGTAAATACAAAGAATGATATAAACAAATTTAATAAAATATTTTTTTAAAACATTTTTTCTGCCATATTTCGTCTAAAAATACTTGAATGTTTGTATTCTTAAAAAAATTGAAATTTTTAATTTTTAAATTCAAAAAAGCGCATAAGATCTGAAAAATAATTATTATCCATGCAGTAGCTGTTTTTTTTTTGTATATACGTATATATACTTATGGAGGTTTAATTTCACAGAAAAATTCATCAATTGGCTGGCATTCATGTTCGTACAATAAAGCAATATTCAGTGTAAAGAAAAAAGTACCATTCAATGGTGAATATTCAATTGTACAGCTTTTAAGTCAGCCTTTTTCTTGTGCAGGCTTTCATCTTCCTTTATTCTATTGTTGGTGTAAAAAACTATTTTCTTGCATTAGTGACTCATGCATTATCTAGCCAAGTGATATATGTACGTAGAAATACATAACGTTTTAAGTACGAGAAATGGTCGCTGGCCATGAAAAGTAAGTTGTTATTGACTAAAACATAAAAAAAATTTTACTTTTCAATCTCTTGAATATAAATATGTGTAGATTCGAAATTTTATACATTTTTCTAGTATTAAAATTTCTGATTTCACCTAATTTTAGGGCATAAAATTGCTAAGTGCGCCTAATTGTAGGCAACATTTTTCTTTACTATAAAGTCAGTAAGCATTTCGAACGTGAAACGTTGCCTACATTTGGGATGTTCTACTGATATATTCAAACTAAATATTTCCTTTTAAAAGTTTTCAATCCTTACAGCTTTATTTTAGTAGCGTAAAGCTGAAATAATAAAAATATATAATGTATATGAGAAAAAAATTGTCTCCTCAATCCTTTGTACTAATAATCCTTCTCTTCCTTAATAAAAAAAATCGAAAAAATGTTCCTAATCCGTCTTAAGAGCTACCAAGCTCTTTTGTCAATTTCTTTTACACTTTTACCATACCTCACGACAAAGCCTACTGTGTAATAACTAAATGTGTTTACATACATATGTTACTCACTGTCAGACTGACTAACTGACTAGCTTGTTAACCAGCTGCCAGCGTCGGCAGCATGCTTCACCGCACTGCTAACGGCAGCATCATATCAACGCAAGTGTTTTGCCAGTTTCCATTGACATACACATGTACATATTATATTTATATGTATGTACATATGTATTTATCTGTAACATTAGCACATAGAAGTTTGTTAAACGTTAATCGGCAGTGTCTTTACATACAACGACAATGCAGATAGAGATGCGCAAGAAAAGAATAGCGGAAATGAGGGTATATGTATGCTGATAATGGGTGAGGCTGAGAGGAAATGACGCTTATAGACGGACATGCTAACAAAATGAAAGAGCTAAAAAGTGTATTCCAAAGAAATGTAGCTTTTATAAATATGCAGATAGTAGTTTTTGGGTACAGTATGAAGATCAGTAAGCCTAGAAACTAGTTCGACACTACTTCATTGCGAACCACTTTATTTTAGAAAATTAAAAAAATATGAATTATAAATGAATTTTGTTGAAAACTGTATTAAGAATAATAAATATATATATATTGTAAAGCTTCATTTATTTTAAACTAGTCCGTAAGTGGTAACCGAATGTACTACTTCGATGTCAGTTTCTTTTGTAGAGCATAGGAATTGTTATTAGTGCCTATGCATTGATTTTAGCCAGGTTGAGATTTACTGCCTTCAAACTAGTTACCTTGGTGTTTGTGCATTTCGAAAACCACGCCAAAACAGTTAGTAACAGTTTTTAATAGAACTTACATGGGTAAAAGTACGACATTTATGGTTGTTGGCGTTAAAGGAATGATTAGTTGCAGTAAAACATTTGAACATACGTAAGAGTATAGAGACCAGTATGCTTAGATACTAGTTTCTAACTACATAATTGTGAACTAGCTATTTATTTATTTTTTTTTTAAATAAAAATAATCAATGAAATGATTTTTATTGAAAAAAAGAAATGCATTAATTTTTTTTAACTAAGTTTATTTTAAACTAGTCCGTAAGTTGCAACTAAAATAATTACTTCCGTATTAGTGCTTTTTGAAGAGCTTAAAATTTGTTCTTATAATATATAAGAAACTATTTTGACTAGTCAATAAAGCAATTACTATGAAACTAGTTGGTCACAAAAAGAAAAAACTAAATATTTGCAGCATGGTTTTAAATGAATCGTACAATAGTAAAAGTATGACGTTGACGGTATGCTTTGGTGGGTATGAATGACAAAAAATAGTTTTTGTACTAAAAATAGTTGAACGTACATACATACATATATATGTAGGGACATACTCACACTGAGCAAATAAGCTGTAAGTGTGAATTTTTTTTGCATTTTTTTTCTATTTATTTTCCGACTCTTTGGTATGGTAGTGCGCTTACAATAACAACTTGACATTGAGTGAATGCAAATAAAGCTGGAATAGGAATTGTTGAATCCTTAATGAAATATTCACACACACACACACGCATATACATACAGATATGCGGCTGAACATGACAAATGCACTTCTTTAACATTTTGCATAATGGTTAGAGCAGAGAGTGATATGACCATTTAAATGTGAGCGTTCAGTTGGTGTGACGATTTAGTTTGAAAACCTCATTATATTTTATTGCGCTACTGCCGACGTCATATTTCTTTCTTTTACTTTGCGACATAAATAAATAATGAATGAATGTCCTTTTCTGTCGCCGAGTGACGTTTACATGGGGTATCCTTCTATTTTTTTTTATTTACTTTTTATAAAATGTTCTCTATTATTCACTCGAACAATGCGGTAAAATGATTTCTTTTAATTACTTAAGTAGTTGCTGCGGCGGCTGCTGGTGCTCTACTGGTGCTGCTGCATTTTTATTTTATGACACATTTCATTTGTCGCATTTTTTATGTCGGGCAGTTAGTTACACTTACTGTTCATACTTTGTTTTATATTGGAATGCTGACAATTATTTGAATTCTGCATCACCGCTTTAAATTTTCTTGGCAAGGTATATTTGAAAATTTGTATGTATTGTGCTAATACTCACTTATTTAAATTAAAAAAAAATGTTTGAAAATTATTTTCAAATCGCTAATAAAGCAATTTACCGCTTTTTTAACCACTTCCATGCACTTATATTGTACATATACATTTACATAAACATCCGACTAACCAGCTTCGTCGTTTGCTGCACTTTATCTAACCCCCTAAGATGAATAAAAATTGCATACACTCAAGCATTGAATGCCATTGAATGTTGTTCGTCACGCATATTTATTGAATTTTTACAGAATTGATGATATTGAAGACAATTCAATACTTCGCAGAGGTGTTCCTGTCGCCCACTCCATATATGGCGTGGCGAGCACTATGAATGCTGCCAATTATGTGCTTTTCCTTTCGCTGGCAAAGGTGCAACAGTTGGGTCATCCAGAGGTATACTTTGCTATACATTACATTTATAATCGAATTTGTATTCAAATATTCTGATAATTTCTTTGCTTCCATAGGCTACCAATGTCTACACCGAACAACTGTTGGAATTGCATCGTGGTCAGGGCATGGAAATATATTGGCGTGATAGTTTTACCTGTCCATCCGAATCGGATTATAAATTGATGACCATACGTAAGACCGGTGGTCTCTTTATGCTTGCCATACGTTTAATGCAACTCTTTAGTGAGAATAAAGAGGATTTCACCAAGTTGACAGCCATACTTGGCTTGTATTTTCAAATACGTGATGATTATTGTAATTTAAGTTTAAAGGAGGTATGTAGAATTTGTTGAAATATTATTTAGCAAATAATTATTAATATAAGAAATTTTTGTTGATTTTTTTTAAATTAATTTCCCTCTTAATTTGTATTAATTATGAAAAAATGAATTTAAATTGTTTATTTTTATGTTATAAAGTATACACAAAACAAAAGTTTCGCCGAGGACTTGACGGAGGGCAAGTTCGGATTTCCAGTTATACATGCTGTGCGTTCGCAGAAACACGATAAACAAGTTTTGCGTAAGTATTTTAAATTTTGCCATTTTCCATTTGAAAATAATATGATTTTCACGCAGATATTCTGCGACAGCGCACTCACGACATTGAAGTGAAGAAGTATTGTATTGGTTTGCTGGAGAAATTGGGCAGTTTTCAGTATACGCGTGAAGTGCTAGAATCTCTGGATAAGGAAGCAAGAGCAGAGGTAATATTACTGTATTTTATGGCATGAACAAATGGCTTGCCAATGACAGAAAATTAAATTGAAAAAAAAAAAAAATTATAAAAATTTCCAACCTCAAAAAATTGTAAAAATTGTATTATTCTCTCTCTTTCTGCCTCAGGTCGAACGCTTAGGCGGCAATCCTTATATGGATTTACTGCTAAACAAACTGTTGTCATGGAAGGCTACCGAGAATCATACTAATCACAATAATATTCCATCGCCGAGCAATCATAATAGCAATTAACAGCCAAAGAGGCAAAAGAGGGAAATTTGAATTGACATCAACAATGTTAATTCGCCAACCTCTTTTGCTGCTAAGAATGAAATGAATTTGATAGAAGTTTTTTTGCAAAAACTAAATATTTTTTAAACTACATACATACATATTTATGTATTCTACAAGCGCCTAATTAAGAGCCTAAATTTAATGTTGATTTGTAATTATTAGAAATATACATACATACATACACCTAATTACATACGCATACATAAGTATGTGTGTATTTATAAATACACACATGCAAGGCAATAATATTTAAGCAAATATGTGTTAAAACACTCACTAATGCACTCAAGCGCCTAAAACTAGACTTAAAAATATATAAACGCACCGATATACTCGAAATTTTAACACGTGGACCATGAATTTGATAATACATACAAGAAAAAAGAAAAAAACAAAGGCAAAGCTCAAGGAGAGAAGACTTTGTACACAAAAGTTTTGGTTCTAGCAAGAAAAATAATTGTAAATTTGAAATTTTCTTTAAAATCTACTACTTTTTTCATACTTTTGTAAGTTAATAATTAATAATGTTTATTTTAAGCTTTTTTTTGAATCCAAGTATATAAGCGGTGCTCAAACCTCGAACTTGAAATAATTCGCTTAATTATTTATTATATTCATATGGCGAATCGAAGCATTACGTTTTTTTCTTTCGATATTTAAGAAAAATGTTTACGAAAAATTTTTGAAAAACAATTTGTCAACGCATTTCACCATACACCATACGCACTTTTATTGTTGTAATGTGTGTTAATTTTTATAAGATACTTGTTATAAATCGCGTTGATTGTATGTAAAATAATTCCAATTCTCTTTAAGTACTCTTTATGTACTTAATATTCTAAATCGATGTATTTAACTTTAATTAAGCGATGTTTTAACAACAAAAACAACAAAAAAACATAAAATTAAAACGTTATTAAAGTTTAAAATATCAGTAATTAACTTAAAAGGAAATTCGCACGTTTAAAAAATATATATTGTTAACTAAATAATCATAAAATAGTCACACACACACACACACACAGAGATTCAAACATACTCCAACACACGCACGGTGGTGTCATGTCTGAGGTCACAAAATATTAGTTGAGAAAATATTTTTATAATAAAATAATATTGCTAAAGTAGTAATTTATGTTATTGTTATAAATATTTTATTGTTTAATTGATTTTGCGTCATTTCTTCAGTTAGTGCCTGTATTTTGTGTACTTTTGATATTTCACTACATCAGCACATGCATACATACATATGTACATACAAGTAAAGACTTGCAGAAATGTTTGTAAAGCATAAAACTAAAATCCAAAAAAAAACAACAAAAATATTTTAAATAACAAATGAACAATTTGTATGTATTCGCAATATTATATATATATATATATATATACAAAATGAAAATGAAAAAAAGGATGCACGGCTCTGGAGAATGTTAACTTTTTTCAAATGATATGCACTGCAGTTTATTGCACATTGCACCACCTAAAGTATATAAATATATACATATACATATATTAATTATTACATAAATAAATATATTTTTATTCATATAAGTATTAAATACTTGCTAAAGAGAGAATTTATGAAGTAAAGCCTATTGTAAAAAATATTAATTATAAAACTTAACTAAAAACCAAAAAAAAAAATTAATAAAAATATAAAAAAAAATATTAGAAAAGCAAAGAAAGAAAAATGTAATTTGCATTATTGAAAAAATTTTTGCGTGAGGTAGCAGCAGTAAGCACAATAGGCTTTTAGCTATGGTAAGGTCATTAGTGATTAAAGTTCATTTAATGAGCAGTACAGTTTTGAAAATCAAATGCTGTTGTAAAATGTTTTTTTTTTTATAGAAAACAACGAAAGTAACCTCACTTTTGCAACTTAATTGCACACGTTTGACTCTTGGTTGTACTTTGTTGGTAAAAATAAGAAGTTTACTTTGTTTTGCATGTCGTATTATGTATTTAATTATTTAGTTTTTAATTTTGTATAACTAACTATTAGCTATTAATATGCAGTACAAATATTTTATTTAGTAAACATCTATAAATATTTTATATTTTATTTTCTATTGCATATATATGTAAATATCCATTTATATTATACATTTACGTATTTCACATATTATATATATATAAGTATTTAAATAACTTAGATTAGTATAAAACACATAAAAATTTTGTGCAGCCATTAGTTTCTACAATTATTAACAACGAATTGCTCTATTCGTTAACATTTAAATGAGACAAATAATTATATTTTAAAGCAAATTTGTAATCATAAATTTGCTAGAAAAAACAGGTTCACATATAAAAAATAATAATTTAAAAGTTTTATTATAAAGTTTTGTAGTTGTACAAATGACTGTGAAATTTTTGTGAAAATCATCAGCTAACCTACATATTTATGTTATCTACTAAATTTTTCCATTGTATACGTTTTGTATCATTACTTAATAAGCACATTGGTCATATTGTTTTAGCATTTTTTTACTAATTATACATACATTTTTGCTTTAGAAGCTTTCATACGTATTTATGCATTATTTTTGTGAACAGTTTTTATAGTTGGCATATAATTTTTACTTTACATCAAATAACTTTGTTAACATTTAAAGCAATACATATATATTTTATATAGTTGTAAATAACATTGCAAATAATTTACAATTATAATTGATTAATTATATTTAGCAGCGTAGCAGCAGAATATACACTGTATTTATTATTAGTTTAATTTATTTTTAAATATTTATTTATTTAGTTTTTTTGTCGTCATGCCTTCAAGTTCATCAAATCTTCTTTTTGAATAATTTTAAATTCGTTCAGTTCAATTTAACTAATATATTTTTTTTATAGCATAGAGTACTTTGCAAAATTTACATACTTGTGCATAGATACATACATATATATATGAGTACAAAGAATATAATTTTGAAGTGTACATATATGCAGGTAAATATAATTAATATACATAAAAATACCTGTAATTATAGAGGAGCCCATTACGTAATATGCACTCGTGTGTTTATTAACTTTTTATTCACATATATATATATAACTGCATGTATTTCAAGAAAGTTAATTTTTCTGCAAATTTCCTAACAAATTAATTTCCAACACTCAACAATTAACACTTAATTCCCTGCCACTTCATTGTACAACCTATGTATACATTCATACATACATACAAGTTAGTAATTTAATTTATTTTTAAGGTTATACTTTGTATACTAACCCAGCGCATATTTAATTTTATGATTTTTCGGCAGAAATCAGCTATGCATTTCAGTTTTCCATCAGAACGTCATCACACATAAGGTGTTTACAAATGAAGTTACGTTTTTTATTTTATTTTGTATATGCGAAAAGAAAAAATATTTTTCACAGGCAGAATTTGACTTTTTGGAGGTTAAAATAATTGAAAAAAAAAATATTTGGCTACAACAGTAAGGATATTTTTACCTTTATTATTATCTTCAATCATTAGACGAGCTCAAATTATATGGCTATAAAATATTAATTTAAACATTTTTTTAAAAAAATATATATATTTAAGAAAGGTATATAAATATTTAGAGAACCAATGAAACTATTTTTAAAAGCGCTAATTCAATTGCTTTCAGTCTAAAAGTTAATTCCTGCCAACTAAGTTCAACATGAAAACGTATATTTTTCTGATGCCAGCGGATTACAGCAGTACTCAAGTAACAGCTTTTCTACCGCTGCTAAATTATACAGAGGTGCTGTGAATATATACATGGTACTGTTAAATTGTACAGATGCGCTGTTAAAAGCTGCATGGTTCTGTTAAAATTTAGAGAGCGAGAGCATTTTTGGAGTTTAATTTGTTTTGCATAAAATATTCGCAAAATATTCATCAAAAATTTATAATTCTGTATTAAAAACAAATTTGAAAAAAGAGACCATGAGACTACTAATTTTACAAACAAGAACTTGACATATTCTGTTGATTTAGTACACATAACTCAAAAAAGCGTCCAAATTCAAATTTTACATCGCCTCATATATAACAAAAAAATAAAAATCCATGCTTCAGTTATGAATAAATGTATGTGCATATGCATTAACTGACTTAATTAACTTCACCCACTGGCTCTCAAAATTGTCTGACATTTGATTTGGTAGAAGTGAAATGCTCGCGCTAAAAGTGACAGTTTGTGCTTAGCTTCGTGCGGAAAATACGTTTTGAATATTCAGATCGGTTTTAAACTTGTTAAATTATTTAATGAAATTCAGTTCAAAGAAACAAGTGCGTGATAAAGAGTGTTTATGCCGCGTCAGAGTGTATGATATTGGTTGAAGTGATTATATTTTACGGAACACTAGGAAAAAGTTGGAATTGAACAGTCGCCAAATAAAATAAATGTTGAATTCTTCTTACCATTCGGTTGTTTATATTAAAAAATAGTTTCTGCCAACTGACAAAACTGTAAAGTGAGTAATTTATTTTGATTTTATGAAGAGTTTTATGACAATGGGTCAGCGGGCCTAAGTGCGCTCGATTAGTGGGCCCTTGATTGCGCAAGCTAATTAATTTATGGAGCGTTTGTTAGGCTGTAGTTTGCGTGTGAGGCCAATATACACAATACCGTGAGAATTGCCCACTTAAATTTCTATATGGTTCAATGCAACTTCTATCTGTTCTTTGACGAGTTGAGCTGATTTAGTCACGCCCGACTCAGTTTTTTTTTTAGATATTTTAAAATATGTATGTACGCGTATGTAGCTTGGTAAAAATATGCACTGTTACATTTCAACAATCTTTTTCGGAACCGGCCAGATCGGACCACTATAACATACATATATGCAGCCGATTTGTCCAATTTGAGATTTTGTATTGTAAATCCGTCATAAAATTTGGTATTACTCATTTGTTTTGAAAATTATTATTATTGGCACCGAAAATCATCGAAAGCGAAAGCCTATAGCACATGTTATCGATACAACCGATTCTTTCAGATATGAGTTTGTCGGTTAAAAATCCATCAAAAAGCATATAAACATATTTACACAGAACCATTGTTACATAAAATCATCGAAATCGGATAACTTTTCCATATAGCTCCTTCCGACCAATTTTTCAGAAATGATAATTAATAATTAATTCTAAATGAAGTACCTAAAATTTTTTTTTGTTTTCAAACTATCTCGACAGTTCTGGAAATCATCATTTGTGTATCTGTTTGATTTGAATATGAGTGAAAATTTTTTTTCCCTTCAATAAAACGTTTCTGAAACCATTCAAAATTGCAACGCTTGCATATTATTGAAGGACCTGGCTGTACTTGGTATATCCAATTGGCTCTAAAAAGCAAAAAGAAGAAACGAATGGCGCAATGCTGTTAAAATGGCTATAATCGTGTAAGCGGTGTCTAACGCCAGTTAAGTATGTAAGTAATCCCGAAATCGAAAAAGGCAACCCTCGTACATTATATATGTATATTCATACATAACTTATTGCATATGTTGGCCAATTAAAATAATTACGACGTTTAATCAACAAAAACCACTAAAGTCACAACTAGACAAACACACACCCACACAAACACACATCTATCAACATTGCAGTTGAACTTTAAAACTGTCAGTCTGTGTGTAGAACATGAATTTGTTGAAATACCAACAATAACTCACAAAGGCTAAACACTATCTATATGTCTGTCTGATTGTTGAGCGGTGAGTAGTAGCCGAGACATACATACATATATGTGTGCGGGTGTATGTTGCTTGCTTTTGAGAGCCTACACTTGATTTTGTCGACTTTCCTTGTTGTCTGTTGTCTGCCTGCTTCTTCGGCATCCATTCAGTCAGTGTTAATTAATTAAACAACATTTCAAGCATTTAGTGTTGATTTCAATACCAATTGTTGTTGTGCTGCTGTCAGTTGTTGTTGTTTGGACATTCTATAGGTGTTAAGGATTTTGTGTGTTGCATAAAAAGTGGCTCGGTTCAGTGTCATGGCCACTGACAGTGCCATTTTCTGAGGAGGTGACTTGCTGCGTATTGTTGATGTTGGTTATAATGTAGATTGAATTGGGTTTGTAATGCGTTGTTCTAGCTCACTCTCCCACTGATTGGTTACGCTACTGCTTAAGAATCGGTAATTGTAACCAGATGAGTGGTGTTTTAGCTGATTGGTGTGTTGTTGGTATCGAATTCACTATATTCATTGCAGTTACCTACAGCATGCGCTGTATGACACTTTTCCCCGTTGGCTTTTTTTGCATTTACTTTTTCTAACTATCTCGACTCTCATTAACTCAACTACTTCGCTCACACCACCAACGCGGTAAGCAACCAACACGCTGTCAACTTCTAGGCGATTTTCTCATTACTGACTCCGCGGCTGTTGCACTGCTACGTTCGCTTGTTGTCCGCCACGCCATTTCCTCTTCGCTAATCATTGCACTGCTCAGAAGTCATACATTTAAATCGGCCATCATTTTACGAAAATCATTAAGCGAACCATAAGTATCGAAATCATCACAGCCATCCAATTCACTGCCTCTTGAGCCATGTCGACTACCCGGTGCGGCTGCGCCGATGTGTGTTGGACGTGGTAACGTCAGTGGCACAGGCAGGAGTTCAGGCATTACCGAGTGATGCGTGATGAGCGCGCGCAACGAGGAGAACTCCTTGGTGAAGCCCTGCAAAGGAGGTAAGAGAAAAAATTACAACATACGCCATAACTTCTACTTCATTTCACATCATTTCGAAGCCCAATCAGCATGTGTATCGAGTTTCTTTGTTTTTCATGTAACTCACCTTGATTTTATAGCCACGCGGCGTACGCAGTATCAGGTAGTGTGCCACTTTGGGCGCGGGCGGTGGCACGCGTAGCGATAGCGCAAAACAGCCTGGCTTAGTGCTCGACTGGCGCACCAAAAAGGCGCCAGGACTTTGACGTGACAGCACCTCGAGTGAGATCTCACGTGGTATGCCAGCTTGAAACCATGCAGCGCCCTTGAGTTCATGTTGCTCCGCCAAACTGAGATTGTCCAAACGTAGCGGTGCACTGGACGCAAACATCTTTGGACTGGAGTTGGCTATAAGCAAGACAAAAGAACACACACACACACACAGAAAATTAAAATTTCTTTTCGCTCATTCATTTCATTTGCTACTTACCACTGCATGTCTCACGCAGATATTTTTTCTTATAACTAAATTCAGTGTGTTCTTGTAAGCCGATATGCGCCGCCTCGAGCGTTGGCAATGCAGTCAACGATTGCCGACAGGAGTCGCCGAATTTGTTGGTTATCATTTTTTCGGGTTCACAGATAGCTTCATTCACATAACCATCGGATATGGTTTGCGATGAGCCTGAGTTGAGTGAGGAAGAGGCTGTGTGCACCAACGGGCGACTGTCTTCGGTGCCGCGCAGTAGACCCATGCCCATTGTGAGACGTTTTACCTGCAAACAAACAAACAAAGAATAAGGAGAGATTAATAAGAAGTGAAATTGGCTGAAAATTCCTTCACATGCTTTGTGCAAAAGAATGAGCTCGAAAGGAAATTAGTCAATAAATATATAAAGTTCTTTGGATTGGTCTCACCGAATATTAACGCGCTAGTCTGCTTTCTGCCACAAAAAACTGCTTTTAAAGAATTTCTATGTGAGAAAGACTCATTTTGAGAATAGATAAACTTGGCGACCAAAATATGATCAGAAGAGTTCGCTCGAAATAAACTCTCTTAAAGAGAGGACATATCTGTATGGTAACTTTTTAAATATCACTTCGCGATAAGACGGCATATAGAAAGAATGGCAACTGCCTTTGGGTGATATTGCAAAAGCATATTGCTTTCCACAAGGAGAGATCTCACACTTTCTATTCCATTGTTGCAAGGCTCCGAAACCTGTGCGCTAGCTTCCTTCATGATTTGTCAAAGACAGCTAAGATAGCAGAAAATTTACAAGTTAGCCAAAGTACTCGTAGATAGAGAGTTAATGATCGGGTTAACATCGTGGTATCATAAAGCAGCTACCCTGACCAAAGATGTCCCGACATCGTAGGCCTAGCCTACTTGCCTACCTTTTAAAATTCTGAATAGCACAATTTCAAGGCTTTTCTCACTTTTCAAACAAGACATATTTAATTTTATGGTACTTCTCACAATTTCCCTCAATAATTTATAAATTGAAAATTCTATCAGTATTAAAATACGCCAGCTTCCTTCTATTAGCCATCGGCCTTGAGTGAATAAAAAAAAATTGGGTAAACGAAATCAGATCAGCCACTAAACTATTTCGATTTCTCATTTCAAATGCAAATAGCACCTCAAGCGGTTTAAGTGCTCGGCACCTCAGCCACAGCCTCAGCGCTCAGGTTAAGTTTGTAAAGTTTTCCGGTGTATGTAATTCAACGAGTTCACCTGCGAAATTGCAAAAGTTTTAGCGTGTCAAATTCTTGGTTAACCACAAACGCAGAAAACTTTTTACGCTCCGTAAATCTGGTGCAGCGTGTGCGTGTGTGTGTGTTTTTAATTTTCTTGGATTTACAAACTTACTCTTTTGCTTGAAATGAATTGGTTTGTCGTTGAAATTAATGAAATTTTTCGATTTTGGAAATTTATTTGTCTTTGTTTTTGCTTCTTTTTTAGTTTTAATGTTTTTTTTTTTGGTGTAAGTTTGATTTACAAAGTTAATTTCAATCAGGATTATTTAAATAAATTTTAATATTTCTGATTTCAGGTGACCTACTCAAGTTGATTAATTACATAATAAACATTTCTTTTGGTTGAGGACGCAAATAACGGTCTGGAAAATATAAATACCTCATGGAATGAAGTTGAGTGTAATGGCCGGGTCTACTTTCTCGAAAACTTGATATCTGTCACTTTTACTTTTTGTTGAAGAACTTTTCGTATATTATTTAAAGAAATGCTCTGGTTGTCATGAGGTAGAAAAATACACATCATGAATCAGGGCTTTCGATGGCTGATACATGTGATTAGGAGGGGGGTGTCTCTTTTAAAAGTAGAGAAGCCGTCGTTGACAGGTACAGAAGATGTTAAAAGAAAGATGAGTAAGCACGTCGAAATGCGAAGATTAATAGGTTCTCAGTTCGCTGATGCTTGAGTTGAGTTGATGCAGTGATCAACGCGATCGGCGCTATTAAGACTAAAAGCTCATTGTGATATCGCTGCGATGTACTTATCACCTACTCAGATGCGCGAATAATTGCGTGTACCTTATAATCGTTGCGTGTTTGTTACGTCAGGGAGGTAATCAAAGTAGTGATTTTCTAGAAACATTGTCGTGTAGGGCTTAAGCCTGTACAGTGATCGAGGAAGTGTTCGCGAGGCTCTTCTTCTTCTTTATCGTCTCTGCTGCTTCGACAAAAATCATTCGTTTCATTCATTATTACTATTCTCTATCAACAAGTTGCATAGTTAATATAGCGTTTGCAGAATTGATGATATTTTAGCGTCCAATAAAAGCCAAAAGCGGTCTAGTCACGTAGCACGTTCTTTCATAGGCATAGGATCAAAGGCTAGGCCGCGTTCAATCTGATTGCGTTGAAGCTCGCTTGAAATGTGCCGCACAGGCCCAGGAAAAGAAAATTGAGCAGAATTTCCGGAGACTTTGAAGGAGTCGACGGTGGAGTTCTTGTAATGAGGATAATTGTCGACCGTCGAGCTTAGGAGATGGTTTTTTCGAGTAGAAACCACCGGACGGTAACTCCATAGAATAAGCTAGTATAACCACTGATACTTCCGTAAATAAATATTGACTTCATCATCGAACGCATCTTATTACAACTGAATTGGGCCGAAATTTCCCATAACAGTAACGCTGTCTCTTTTCTCAAGGGACCAGTTATCATTTGATTGACGCTATGCCTTTAGCTCCACATGAATTAGGTTATGTAGAGTAGCATAATAAAGCTATAATGAGCAGTGTCGGTTATGTATTAGGTATTTCAGTAATTCCTTGGAAAGCTAGACCTAACAAAGAATCTAAGACAATGTTTGAAGATATGCAGCCGTATGACCACATTGCGTAAGGTTCGGAGGGGTTTTAAAGCTCGCGGAATGATAGCGCACCTTTTTTCTAACATTAACTTATGAAACCTGTCGGGTAAACGATTGCTGAATATTTATAGGTTTAAGATTATATCGAAGAGCCTTTAAACAAAGAACTGCTACCCCTTGAAATACATAATTCTGCGCTGAGCAGGAGCCTGGCCGAGAAACTCTTCAGCGGTTATAAAGCGCCAACTAGATATGTATGTAGATTTGACATTGACTGCTAGGGAAGGCGGCCGTTGATGAAAAAAGCAAATACGAGTATGTACGTTCTTCTTCTTCTTTTAGCAAATTCAACTAAGATCGAATGCTCGACGGAAACTGCTTTAAAGACAAAGCAAATAAAAATGAATGAAAACAAACAATGGGAACAGAGTAGTGTACTTTGGATTTCCATATGAGTGCGAAATGTACATATGTCCATATGTATGTGTGTGCGCTTGTGTCTAACATAAGTGCAAGAAACAATGCCAAACGTTCATTGACTGCAGTTGAAGGTCGCCTAAGTTTTCGGGCTAAGGACACATGAATTTAAACTAACATACAGACCCGTTGAAAGTATGTACGATTGTGTGCGCTGGCATTTAGTGAGCTTACTCAAATGTCTGGCAAATTGGGTAAATGTGTATAATATATACATTTGTACTTATGTATGAATGCTTTAGGCAACTACTAAATACCCTCCAAATACACACACATATATATACATGACAAATATACATGTAAGTGTGCATATTTGCAGATAAAAACTTTTTTTTTTGGGATGCCTGGGCTGCCGAGAGTAGCAAACCAACTGCAGTTTGTCTCGCCAGCAGCTGTTTTATTTTATGGTCGGCATATAACCTTGTCAACCGGTAAATAAGACACACACACACGCATACACACACATACAAGAGAGAACAATAAAAATGCTAAGCTCTAAATGAAGTAAGACAATGCTACTGAAGTGGTTGTTTCAGGTTGTTTTTTTTCATTTTTAAACAAAAAATTACAAAAGAATGAGAAGAAATCCTTTTCGTATCTGTTGAAGCGCCAGTCAGCATCTCGCACTTGCTCAAGTGCATTTAGATGTTTTTATCTTTGGTATAAACCAACAGGAAATTTTCTGTTCAATAAAGAGTTTATTTTCTAGTGTAGGGAGGACTTCCTCATTTACCATGAAGATATAGAAAAGTTCACAAAGTGTCTGCCATTTGATCGGCCGGCAATGCTACTGAGCCTTTTACTAATGCCGTCATGGGTGCAAGGTATTTGCAGCCTCACACAACGAGATTTTAGTTCAGAATTCATGGAACTCTTCACAAGACCGATTTTAATGTACTCTTGATTTTGCTTTCTAGAGCTTAAATTGACATTTTGGTGCTCGCAAGCTCGCAGGGATAGTTAATAATTAAATACCAAGGTGGCTGCATTTCATTCTCTTTCCGGCAGTATCAGTTTAAAGGATCCAACAGCCCTTAATTGGCTAGAAACACGTCAGAGCTCTCAACAAAAGCGGTAGCCATCCTGTGGGTGTATGTGAAAGAGGAACACTGAACTTCTTCACTGATGGATCAAAAATTGACGAAAGCTTCGGCGCTGGCGAGAATTATCCATCGGTGAAGGGTTTTTTCTTACAGATCATTGCAGTACCATTCAGACGGTAGTGGCTGTTATCAAGAAAACGGTGGACACACAGCTTAGAAGTTTGGTTTTCGTAAAGCAAGCCAACATTTGCTGAGATTGTCAATCGGCTATGTCGGTCTTAAACTCACTAATGGTCAGCCCCAAAATTGTGAAAGAATGTTTGTATTCTTCGGTTTTCGATTCGAATTATTTCAGAATTGAAATCAAATTGGTATCTAGTCATTGTGAACTGCAGTACTGATGAGCTTGTATGTATGATCATCATCGTTTCGTTAATGCCGGTCAAAGTAGAACTGTGCGCTCCTCTGATAACTTGCGGTCTACTACTGGATAGGTGGGCATTGAACCAACTTAGCAAACGCAGAGCTAGCGCTTTAACATGCGAGTTTGCGAGATTCTTCTACCCCAAGGGCGACCGTGGAAGGTCCGGAAAGGTCCTCATAGTTCTGACGTGGCGTTTCCAAATTAGAATTCACAATGTAACATTTGTGAGCTTTCCTGAGCCCCACTGCACTGAAGAACATACGAAATAATCTACGTAGTATCTGTTGAATTCCGGGTTTGTTTGATTGAGGCAGGAAACCCGAAGCACTAAACAGATATTGAAATCAGGCCAGTTTGCACTAAGCGAATCACTGAATAGCCGCTTCAAATCATTCTAACATAACCTAATCTTTGTGTGAGCGGAAGGAGATCAAGAAAGTGCTTTAGACCAACATCTGTTGAGTTGATGTAAGATCTCTCCATGTAGGAGCAGGCCGCAAATATCCGATGTGCTCTAACTTGAACGAATGTGGTACAATTAAAACAAGTTGGAGCTCATGGCACTTATTTCTGTATGGAGCGTTGTATAAGCACTCGTTTCACCTTTTTTTTTCCTCTGAAGTGTATATTCCATAATCGCAAAAGAAAACGTTCTTGGACCACTAAAAGCTCGAAATCGATTCGAATTGAACCAGGTTCGCTCAAGTATATCATACAGCTGGGTATATACAGCATATGCAAAGGAGCATTTCGCTTTAACTAAACCGACTTGCTGCCGGAAGCCAGTCTCCACTTACTTTAAATTTAATTTCATTTGTGTTGTCCGAAATTAGATCTCTCGCATCCAAAATTGCTGTAGGCATTCCTTCCCCTCTACATAATTCGGACCCAAAAATGTATGTGAGCGAGTATAAAATGTCCACAAAGTGGCCAAATCTTGTTTTTGTTTTACAAAAGCAAAGCCTTACATTGTCTGTTGTGTGAGTTTACGAGTGCGCCGCCGATTGCAACAAGAGAAAGGCGTCATCACAATGCCATTCACATTCCGGTAGAAATTCACATCCTTATTGTTCTCGGCGACACTTACACTGCACACGCTGGCAGACAGACAATGCATTTCGTTGCTTGCATTTCTGAGTTCTGCTTTCTGGGCAGCGCGTCATTTCCAGGCGTGAAATTCTATTTTAAATACTCGCAAACTTCCATTCCATTTCTAGGTTTTCTATTCTTCTTTTTTTGAGTGGCTTCAGCGTCTCTAGCCCAAAATTTTTTATAACATTTTTATCGCCGAGATTTATGTGTGTCATAAAGTTGGGAAGTTCTCCCGACATTTGTGGGTATCTGTGTATTTTCATATACTCTCGTGTGTGTGTGTGTGTGTGCGTGTTCACTGTGTAATTGAATGTGAAAAACTATAAGAAAAGTTTTTCCCTGATAATTTTGTGTTTCTGCGGCGCGTGAATGCATTTGAGTGCGAATTGCGGAAAGTTGGTCGGAATTATTTGTACTTTTAATGCATTTTATCATTTAACTGGCTGCTTATATGATGTATGGTGCGGTAGAGGTTTTGTTTCAGTTGAAACGTGGACGGGTTTTTGAGAAGATTTGCATAGCTTTTGGAAAGTCTGGAGCCTTAGTAGAGCTACCAGTAATCTGTCCAAGAGACGTTAACCGACAAACTTTTAAATTCCTCTGATGAAAGTTACTGGAGAGATCTATAGTTTATTCTAAGATGCCTACGAAAGGCTAATGGTCAGAAATACATTTAGAGGACTTGACATTGCCTTCTGAGAGGAGAATGTTGGTCAGAACAGGATTGGAACCATCACTTTTTTTCGAACTTAATCAGGCGCTGCTAACCACTCAGCTATCGCGGCCGCGAAATTACTACCTAAAAATTGAGGAGTTGTCTTGTTCTATCAAAAAAGTTTTGGAGTTTCTGATTAAGCGAACTTAAACGGCTTTGGTGACGTCATTCCATATATTTGAGATTTCTCACCTTATGCCCAGCGACAGGTTTGAGAGAAATGCTTTTGGTTGATTTGATCCTTTCCATACGAATATTTGCTAGCTAGCCAGAGTATGCGTGATACAAGACCAAAGGTCGGGGTTAGTGAAAGATTCGTTTTTGGGCATAAATATAATATAATTAAGAGACAGCTGCTTTGATGATAAGGTCATGGCATCCAATCGGATAAAAACATTCGAGCTTTGAAAGTATTCGGGGCAGTATTCGCTGAGGGGATAAAAGAAAGTCGAAGACCTCCACTTCGATAAAAGTATCAGGTGCAGTGTGATGACTTGGCTACAGTTTAGTACAGGCGATGAGAAGCAACGGCTTGCGCGCTATTGTTGATTTCGACACAATACGGCATGGCCAGACTCGTCCATGATGACGCAAGTGGAAGCGAAGCGACTTTATTTGCAATTTCGTTCGCCGTATCGTTACCTGGAGGTTCAGAGAGAAGTGCTAAGCTATCATGCTGGGTATCTTAGTTCTGCCTGGCTATCCAAGGAGTTATAAATCATCGAAAGTACCGTTAGACTTAGACAATTAACAGACTCATATATCGTTGCCACTTCTACATGACGGCTCTTTTATAATCCGCTAGTCGAAAGTACTTGCTAATTGCAAGTTCCTTTGAGTATACATATATCACCTCCAACCCTGTTCTAGAGTTGTTGCCAATTCTTTTAACAATGAATCGCATCTACATACACGTATGTTGGATTAGCTCCCTACCATTATACTTTCTGCATCGTTTGTGGGTTAAAATCTAAGTCAAAATTTTTCGCCCATTTTTCTCTCCAACTTATTGCACCCTGCATGCGTTCACACAAAGAGCTTCTAAGACGGCCACGATATTCGGATGGTGAGAATTTCGTATTGTTATGCCGTAATCTAGAGTCCGACACCTTGTCCGACCAACATCTAAAAGTAATAGAAAATTAATTTAATTAAGGAAACAGAGGAAGAGGAAGACTTCCACTCTGTTGGACGGATCAGGTGGAGAGCGATCTGCTTTCACTTGGTATTTCCAACTGGCGCCAAACAGCGAAAAGAAGAGATTAATGGCGCGCTATTGATTCGGCTATAATCGCGTTAGCGGTGCCAACTCCAATAAAGAAGAAGATGAATTTAATTAAAAACATAGGTTAGCTTTTCTAATGGCGGTCACCCCTCGGCAAGGAATGTCAATACTTCCGTGCGTACTTCAGGCAAGAAGTAAAAGCTCCTCACAAAAATCTGTCGGGCGTTCGGAAACGTTTTACTTTAAACTGTGCCCTTTGTGGGTAAAATGTCAAAATGCACGTCAAAAATTGGAGAAGGAGCTCGGCCGAAAATCGTTTCAGCGGTTAAAAATCACAATTCTATATAGCTTTATATGTATGTGTATGTATAAGTGCATACATACATAATGCCTTAAGAAGTTTAATGCCAAAAAAGTCCAATTTATTATTGTTATATATTTTTCTACCAAAAATTGAAATCAAAGCATCCCAACTCACCAAAGGCGGCTTATCGGCCATACGCCGACAATTATTCATTTCTGTGGGTGAATTATCCTCCTCCGAGCTGGGCGAACGCGGCACTGGATGTTGACTGGGCTGGAGGTGGGCTTCCAAAGGCGGCTCATTGCAACTGTGTGATGTGAAAAGTTAATTAGCCAATTTTTGCGTATAAATGACAACAAATTTATTTCTATAAAACAAACCTTAAACTTATTTGTGGCAGTAGGTGTATGGGTCGTCGTGTTTGCGTGGGTGACACACGCGACATGGGTTGTTCGACGCGCAAACGTATGTCCTGCATTTTGAAAGCGGCGAAATTGTTTTGAAGAATTTTTTTTTACGCAAGGCGAGTAAGCTGAAAGGAGAGAAGAGGAAAGTAAAATTAGCAAAGAATAAAGACATCTTTGAATTAAAAGCAAAGGCAAAGCAAAATTTGTAATTATTTATATGTATAGATTTTAAATAAATATGCTAAATAGGCGCTGGTGCTTTATTTGCTTACATAAAATGTCCACTAGCTTCTAATATCCTTTCAAAATATGCATAAACACTTTGAGCTCTTACCTTTCTCTCACTAAACTATTTCATAAAACTTTTTAGACTCGTTTAAGTACTTGCGAATTTTCTGAAAATTACTTGCTCTCAAATGAAATGCAGAAGTGGTTGAAAAAAGCCAGAACAAAAAGCGGGAAAGCAACAACGAAGTATCCAAGCAAGACAACTCAAAATATTTTGAAAGAAAAATCTCTCCTTAGTGTCTGTGTCTGCGAACTTTTATACTTTATGCGTTTGTGTATGTAAATAACTGTACTTGAGCAGATTATATCTACATGCATCTCTTCCCCTCTTCATCTACGCTTAGTTGTGGCAAATTTTGTGGCTTGTCAAAGTCTTTAACTTCATTTAAGTGGCTCTAATGGTATTTCCGCCACTTCATATCAAATTTTTGGTTCACCAGCAGCTGTTGTTGTTTTGGGTTTCTTTTAGTTTGGTTTTTGTTTTCTTTTGGTCAAAAATATTTGAAATTTTGTGGCAAAAACGCGAGTTGTAATTTCTTGTTGATAGATAGTGTTTCTGTTGTAGTGGCAATAGTTATTTGAGGTTGGATATTGAATGGAGTTTCATTAGAGAATTTGACACATATTTCGAAAGAAATTCATATAAAAAGAGGTTTTGAAGTGAAAAATGAAACATTTTCGAAAAAGAAAGTTTTTTCCTTCGTTGCATTTTGGATCATACATTGAATTCTTAAAATCTCTGCATCAGTTTCAGCAAATTTTGGTATATTTATGCTCGTCTGTTCAAATAATAAGTATTAATCTCTACCAGGGATGTCCAAGAGTGTAGAAAGATATAACAACAACTTCATGTTTATTTATTTCTTCATCGATGGATTACAGTTCGAAGACAGAAATGATGAGCTACAGAGGGAAATCGCTGTATAGGAAGGGTTCCCTCCGTCAACGCGCACTGTGAAGTCTTTCAGTTTATAGCAAACTAAGCTTGGATGTTGATATGATCAGAAATCGAATCCGTAAGCCTCCTCATGATAGCACGCACCGCTAACCACTCGTACAATGCCGGAGAGAATTTATTTTTTCATCTTAGCAACACGCTAGTATAACCAGATTTCGTTTCCCTGCAACGAGATTGATTCAAGGCCAGTAGTTGGAAACTGTCGACGCGACAACACGTTTCGTGTACAATGGGAATACAGCCTCCTGCCAACTGCGAAATATGTGGTATAAATCGTTATCTCGTTTGGAATAGAAAACCTCTGTTTGAAGTTTATGATGAGGTGAAAAAATACGGAGGGCGAAACCATTCCACAAATTCCCTTGATCTAGCAGCTTCAATCTCGTTGCATCCCTGGAGTAGGTAAAGGATGAAGCGGTTAAGTGGATGAAGGGGTTGGCTGAAGACTAATTCGAAGAAAGCATCGAAACATGTATACCACACTTCACCATCTGCAAGACTGATATTGAGAAAACCATTAGCGCCACTCGTTTTTCATCTAATGCGAGAATCTTAAGAAACACAGCAGAAGGGGCAGCATATCTCAAATAATTAATGCTTAAATTAAATATCAAACAAATGAGATTAATAAAAAAGGTTGCTTGACAGGCTATACCGATCTCTCGCTTGCCATTCTTATATCAGAATATATTTGTAGGAACCAAATTAGTAATATTAGGCTTTTCACTTTGGCTTACTTATCGTGCAAAGTGCAAAGTGTTAAAGTGTTAAATCCTTTGAAAGTTTTCCACAAATTTCCATTAATTCATGTATAAAATAAATTTAAATCCTCTTAGAATATTTAATTGCTTTCCCTTAGTGTGGCCAAATATACGTCACACATCTGCACACATATGTACATGTATGTACGAGTATATATAAAGGTACTTTATCACCACAACAAGTTGTTACGGTAAACTTTAGGCAACAAAACAAATTTCGAATGAGATATTAAACAAAAACAGGAAGTCACTTGAGTGAATAGTTTACAAAACTCTTAATCTTCACTCCGTAGCCTATAGGACACACACACACACACACACACACACACACAAACATGCACATAAATAGAGAGAAGCACAAGAATTATCGATAGACCACATTAGATTTTGTTTAGCAATTTTATTCAATAGAAACAAGCGGCAACTAACAAACTAAACTGTCTCAGTTTTCATAACTAAAAACTTTGCCAAACAAGAGGCGGACAGATGTACGTCGGGACGGACGCAGAGCTGGACAGATATTTGAGCCATTAGGATTTTACGAACATATGAGCATAATAAAAAGCCTAATAAGCTTAAAATGTCCACTGGTAGTTGCTGGGTTATGTGGTTGTCTTTGTTTTTGTCTCTTGTCTTTTGTTTTTTGTTTTTTGTTTTTGTTTTGTTAGTTTTCACATTTGATGTGCCTTTTATCGGTGTATGTTTGTTGTTTAGGCTCTCGTCATCCTTTTTATTGCGTCCATTGTTTACACATCATTGAATTTTATGTAGGCATAAGGATAAGCTTTCATGCATGTGTTAGTGTTGGCAGATATGTATGTATGTGTGATGAACTTTCTGCTTTTATTGCTAATATTTGATTATTATGAACTAAAGTTTGGCAATCTGATATGAGATTATGAGTTTAAATTATTTTCTGCACAATGTTGTTGTACCGTTATGTTAGTTGGCTTTTGTGAAGTCAGTTGGCTTTGATATTTAATAACTAACTATCAAATTTAGGCTATTATTGTTTATGTGAAGCAATTTCGGCTGTTTAAATTTTATTGTTGCCTTAGTTTGCTGCTTTGGTTGCTTGTAAAATAGCTCTTTGAAGTCAATAATTTAATTTTAAATTGGAGATAAAATTCTTTAAAGTTTTACGATAGACAGAAAAAGTTTGAGGATTGAAACTAAATATTATAGCAACTACGAGATAAATAAATGAATTAATAAATATAATAAAAGAATAATAAATAAATAAATGAATATTAATAAATTGTTCAATACATCAAAAAATTAAGAAAATTAAATGAATATATTAAAAAATCAATAGCTCATTTAGTCAATAAAAAATAAATTAAAAAAAATAAGATTTAAGTAAACAAATCAAAAAAATAGAAAAAATAAATAACTGAATATATCAAATAGTTTAATACATTAAAAATTTTAAATGAATTAATTAAAAAATCAATTAATTTTATTTAGTTAATAAAAAATAAATAAAAAAAAATAAATATATAAAAAATAAACAAATGAATTATCCAATAAATTAATAAATAAATTGACAAGTAGCCGAGAAGTTAGCACTGCGTACAGCCATTCGGAGGTGTTCGAGTCCGGGTTCGATCGACATCCAAAATAAAATATTCTAATTACGCTCGCTCCTCGGTGGGGAATGTCAAAGTCCGAGTGTTCCGAAGGCGGCTTAGAATAATCTGTAGGTCCCTCAATCGGATATAAATACCTATACCTATAAATAGGAAACTAGCTGTACCTTGCAACTCTTCCCTGTGGTACATACTCATTGAATGTATGAAAAATTAAACATTGAATATCTTTTCATCATAACTTTAATATACTTTAGGGTATACAACATTTCTGGTTTTATCATTTGCCACGCAAATGTAAGATTATTGCCCATGAAGAAATTCATATCAAAATGTAGACCACACAATTCTGATGATTGACTGAGCTAGCCAAAGAAGGAAATGTTGTCGCTTAAATTGAAACGGAATATCGGACAGAACAAATGGGAAGATCTGGTCAGAATTGTTGCAACAAACCGCACTTTTCTAACACACCTGGTAGCTGGCAATAGGACGAGCAAACATCGTCTGGCCGTTGGATCATTTGGCAGGTTGTCACACATATTGGTGGTTGATTTCAGGGTTTGTACATGTCGCCACTACGTTGAGTATTTTAAGCCAGCTTTGATCTCACCTTCTGGTGTTGAACAAGGGATAAGAGGCAGAGTAACGTAACATTTCGAAATATGCGGATGCTTACAAACGAATTCAAGGTTTTTATATAAGGGATTAATCCATTTATTTATTTGAATGTGTGGGTGACTTCTTCATTGCTCAAAGTCTTTCACGAAAATATCAATATAAATAAAATATTATTATATTGTTTGGGTTCTTCCACTCTTGTGCGCCCATCTTCGAAAGGCTACATGGAGAGCTGTGGAAAGTTGGAGGTCTCAAGTTGCTGAAGGATGGACACTGGCGAAGGTAATGCTCCAGCATTTCGTCCTTCTCTTTGCTGGCTCTGTACTCTGCAGGTGCTGTTCTAGTTAGCTCGTGGATATGATATCTCAGGAAGTATGCTCTGGAGTATTCCTGCAAGAATACTATGTTCTCGTTTTCGTAGTATTGGCAAGAGTTTAATATGTTTGCAGTACAAACTGCCCCACAGTTGCTTTGTGGTATGCCCTTTAAGAGCTTAAGCCTTTCTCTACTGTTATACTGTTTTAAACAATATTGCATGGCGTTGAAAAGTCTGACATCCTCATTAGTCTCACTAGCGAGCCACCCTCTACAATCGATTGACCTGAAACCTAAGGGATATGTCTTGTGTTTGCCTGTGATACGAAAGCTTCAAAGGCTAACCTAAACGGGAAATACTTGAAATTCTGCGACAAGATGTGGTGACTTAATAGACCGAATTTTCCTGCAAAAAAAAATGTGCGGCAAAATAGAAGCTAGAAAGGTAATCTAACATTCATAGCACACCATTTTTTGGCAGGAAAGAGCACAAACAAAAATATTTGGGCAGATAGTATTCCAAACCCTCATTGAAGCCTTTGAAAAAGATGGTTTGCAATATGGTTCGACTTTAAATCTCGAATTTATA